GCAGCGCCAGTAAATTTACGGCCCGGTGCCCTGCCAGTGGCTAACCCTATCGAACTGCATCTGGCCCCCGGGGCTGCCTATTGCCCACCCCTGCTCAAGAAGCATAAAGCCCATCTGCTGGAGCTAAAGGAGCATCACATTAACTAACGGCAGTAGTAGGCTGTTATCCTCTCTAGATAGCAGTCACTAGAGAGCGAGGTGGCACATTTCAGCAGCGGGTTTCACATTCACACAACACTCTCTTGGCGCGTCGTGCCAAGCCGTGGCTGCACCAGTGCATTCTGGGATTCTGGAGGCCCCAGCCCGAGTGCCTTCTATTTCTGCTGGCAGCAAAGCCTACGAGGTAGTTTCCACTCTACCTTGGGAGACAGGACGTGTCGGAACCCTTGGGACTCCCTGCCTCTCTGTAGACAAAGGCGGCGTGTGTGTGTGTGTGTGTGTGTGTGTGTGTGTGTCATGGCACCTCTGCACCTTCCTCTGCATGGCACTGTCGTTCTGGGCACGTAAGGGTCTGTGGGGAGGCATGGGAGGGCTAGGCGGGACGTAGCCTGCGGTGACTCTGCAAAGCTGGTTTGGGGGGATCAACTTGAGTGCAAGCAATCCTCTGGATCCACCCCCGCTTCATCTTGGGGCCAGCTAGTCCAGGTTGAAAGCCCCCCTGAACTCAGGGGAGAGGACTGTGTGTGGACAGGAGAGGGTTAGGGACAGCCAGAACAAAAGTCCAGGCCAGCTCCGCAGGGACAATACACCCCTGTGAGGTGCAACGTGCATGCGCACACACGGCGGAGGGGGGGAAGGGAAGATCAACATCTCCAAAGGGAAGAAAGAGACATGCACACCCTGGAGAGAGCAACACTCTTCCAGGAAGGGCACATGCACCTGTTAGAAATTCAGCCCCAGCCCCTCAGAATAGAGCAGCGCTCGGAGAGGCTATCGACCGGTGTTCCCTGTAAGCTGAGCACTTGGGTGACTGCCCAGGAGAGATTCAAGTGCCGTCCAGCTGTTAGCAGCGCGCCCACGGCCGGCAGTAGGTGTTTCTATTGGTGGTGCACACCCGTACACGCCTCGGTGCGCAGGACAAAATGTATTCCGCACACGGATGGGAAAAACTTAGGAGGGAACACTGCTGCGGACCCACACCTGAATGACAGCTCTAACCCTGGGGGAGATGCAGGGGAGACCTGCGCGGAGGAGCATCACGCACACAGCCCCGCCAAGAGAGAAGTCACACGCACCGTGAGAGGACACCCCCCCGCCCTGCCCCATGCGCAGAGCAGGACGCTCCCCAAAGGAAAGGCACAGTCACACAGCAAAGACCAGCCACACAGATGAAAAGGGAGCAGCGCACCAGCCAGAGAGAGAGCCCAGCTGCTGGCTGACATCCACACTGCGGCTGGGAAAAACAGCGGCACCCCCCGGCCTGTGGCTGATGCAATAAGGATGTTTAACGAGGGAGTGGGAACCCCTTTCCTCGAAAGCTTGCGGTCCGAACGCGCGCAGGGCGAGAGACAGGGAGGGAGGATTGCTTTCCTACATCCCTGCCTGCCGCATCCCTCCTTTGGCTGCTAAGGAAAGAGTCCCAGCCTTTCCCTTCCACGAGGCAGTGCCGGAGCTGCAGGGGCGGGGGGAAGGAGGAAGGAGGAGCAAGCTCCTGGATAATCAGCAATCAGAGCGCTCACCTGGTCATTACCTTCTGGGGGACTCCTCAAGATATCAGCATACTGGGGCTCCGCCAGACTTTCTTCCATTGGGCCGGTGGGGGTGGCGGCTGAGGAAAGAACACGAGGTTCAGAAAGGAGAGAGGAAAAGCCAAGTTCCCAGCAGGCTGGAGTGTCTGGACCGTTGCCGATCACGCCTCCCCTTTGTCATGAGCTGAGCTCCTGCGCAGATCCAACTCCTCAGAGCCACCCCCACCAAAATCACAGGCAGGGAATCCGTGTGAGTCCTTCTCCAGAAAATCAGGGTGATGGGGATGCTTGGATCAGAAGGGGGGGCTCATGAAAAAGGGGTTAAGACCTTGAACACACCGGGCATTAGCGCTAATCTCCCCATGGTCAGCTCTCAGGGGTTTATCACCCGCCTTGTGGTGGTCGATGTGCTTCTTAAAGCCCCAGCTCCCGGAGTCACGTGCTTAAAAAGAAGCCAGATTTCAAATTCGAGCAGCGCTGGGCTGTTATTGAATCCCCCTCCTGCCATGATGGCAGCGATTCCTGCGGGATCCCAGTCCCGCGGAAGGGGTCTAATTCAGGCGTCGCAGCCGGAAAGGGGCAGGAAAGGACTTTTCGTACCTGGATCAGCCGACTTCTTGTTGTTCATCCGCCAGCACCAGACGGCAGTCCCGAGGGTTAGCACTAACAGGAAGAAAGTCAGCACAATGTACCCTGGCTTCGAGAAGGACGCGTCGGCGCCTGGAATTGTAGAGGATGGAGGTTAGCAGCACCCACCGAGAACTTGCAGCAATGAAGTTCTAACATCTCATCAGGCCGTGGCCAGAGAAGATGCTGCTCTGGTGTCCAGGGCCAAAGGGAAACCTTTAGTGGCTGAGGGTCGGGTCCTTGGCGAGAAGGAGAGTTTAGCTTCTACACCCATCAAGGCCATTTAGTGCCAGTCAAGGGAGTATTACGGATTGCGCTCTCTGAAGAGTAACCAGACCCCCTGATGACTGAGCTGGATACAAACCAATGGCCCATTCTGCACCCAAATCCCCTGAGGTATGCAGTCCCTTTCTATGCTGTGTAGCGAATGGGTCTGTGTTCCTTAGGCTGACTCTTCACGTCTCTCATCGGATCTGCTGCTCCTGTCCCCTGTAGCATCTGGGCAGCACCAAGAAACGTAGCACCAGGACACCGCAGTGAGACGGGGCAGCAGGACCCTCTCGCTTTTACAATCAGGGAAACTGAGGCACGGAGCCGGGGGGTGGGGAGGGAATGTGACTGGACAAAAACCACCTAGCAGGTTAGTGGCCAAGCTGGGAATAAAAATGAGTTCCTCGAGTCCCAGGCCAGTGACCTAACCACTAGACCACGCTCTCTCCCTGAATCAAGGAAGCAGGCACTGCCATCCGAACGGTGACAAGCCTCCTCACCTCCACTGAGGCAGATGCTCTGCAGGTCAAAGGAGATGATCTTCTGATCCACAGGGTTGCTGACGGTGCAGGTGTAGGTCGTATTCAGGGAGCTGGGCTGCAGCGACAGCTGGAGCGTCCTGCCATCTGGGGAGAGCTGGTACCGGCCCGGATCCAGCTGTTGAGCCGGGTTCCCTTTGCCCCAAAAGATGCTCACGTTTCCCTTCCCCGAGCCCCGGCACTGCAGCGTGACGTTGCACCCCTCCGGCGTGCTGGCCAGCAGCTGACTCTGGATCTGGGGGGTCGCCACTGGCTCTGGGTTCAAAGACAAGCAACGATCAGAGGAATCGGTCACGCTCCGGACACCGTAACAGCGGCGCAAGGCAACAGAGGCCCCATCCCCCGATGCAGGGCAGGCAGGAAGGGCATGACTGAGCGCCCCTAAAGCGAGGCAGAAATTCCCCGAACGTAGGCGTTATGAGCGCGGCTCCCCAGCAAGGTCCAGGAGGCCGGCATCTCTAAGACTAGTCTCCACCAGCGGTTTCCCCTTTTCTTCTCATCACCCAGCTAAAGAAAATCGTTGCTGCCACGACCCAATAGAATTTAACTAGCGTGCGGGCTCTGGGGGAGGCTCCGGCTTTGGGCGGGAGCAGGGCTGGGGCAGGAGGGGTTTACCTTGAGCGGCTCCCAGTCCGCGGTGCAGCGGGGGGGCTAAGGCAGCTTCCTGCCTCTCCTGGCACCGCAGACCAGGCTGCCCCCAGAAGCAGCTGGTTCCCAGCCAATGGGAGTGCGGAGCTAGTGTGTGGGGCAGGGGCGGTGCGGGGTGCCCTGTAAGCTCCCTGCTCCCACATCTAGGAGCCGGGTCGGCCGCCGGCCACTTCTGGGGCACAGCTCTGTTTGCGGTGCTGGACAGGCAGGGAACTGCCTCAGCCCCCCGCACTGCTCGCCTGATCCCTCTGCAGCAACCAGACCCAGCGCCGGACGTCCCACCCCCTAGTCCTGGGGCACAGCCATGGCTTGACAACCACTGAGCTACATGACAAGCTGAGGCTGGCCTAGCTACTTTGCTTAGGGGCTGAACTTCCCCCGGTGCACCGCACCTCCACCCTGAGACATGTCATTACGCTGCCCTATGGCGCCACATGGACGGCGATAGGCCGATGGAAGAATTCTTTCACTGACCAAGCTGCTGCCTGCTCCTTGGAGAGGTAGAATGACCACAGTGACAAGACCATGGCTCTAGAGGCGAGGCTTTAAGTGGTGGGCGTAGCCAGTGGTGAAAGTACCTTAACATTTCTTACTGGCACTGTCCCTGCCAGCTCTTTCAATAGCTCCCTGGTGGCTTTTGCCACAGCTCAGCCAGCGCTTGCCAGAGCTGCACACCAGGGCGCACCCGCTAACTTTCACCTCTGGGTGTGGCTGAAGCCCCGACTTTGTGCATCCTGGGTAACATTCAGGCACATGCAGTGCACTTCTCAAACTTTTATGGAAGACTTAATAGACCCTGTGCCGCTGCTTCTCCTCTGCCAGGGGAGAATTTCACCCCAAGTGCACCAAACCATTTGGCAGCATGGCATGGTGGTCACTGGATTGGGGCTCAGGAGATGTGGCATCTATTCCTGCCTCGACCTTGTAGGGTGTCCTTAGGTTGGTCCTTTCCCCTGGCCTCAGTTTTCCCATCTGTCAAATGGGGATAATGCCTCTGCCTTCTATTGTAAAGTGCTTTGAGGTTACAAATGAAAAGAAGGAGGAATTATTGTTAATATCAGAGCACCAGACTCTGCGTTCTCCTGGAAACTATTAAATATCGATCTATTATCACTTACCATAGACCGTGAGGAGAAAGGCCTGATCCTCCACAGTGGCGAGTGTTGTCTTAATCCGGGCCTCATAAACGCCGCTGTCGCCCAGCTGCAGAGCCTTGATCTTCAGCGAGGTCGCGTTGTGCATTTCTAGCCGCTGCTGAAATCGATCTTTGGGATTGGGCCGCTCGAATCCCGCCCTGGTGAACTCAGCCAGCTGAATCGTATCACCCGTCCCAGCACCAAAGCTCCATTCGACTGTCCTCACCTTTCTCCCAGGGGACGGGACCACGGACAGCAAGACCGATCCCCCCAGAGTCCCATTCACCTGGCGGCGGGGAGTCGGCGCTTGGGCAACCAGGATATCTAAGAAAGAGGGCGAGGCCGAACGGTGACAACTCTCGAGTGTGTTACAAGAGACACAGAAAACCCGCAGCAAGGAGACCAATCGAAACATGATTTTTAGTTTGCTAAAACGTCCCTTCCAGCCTGCATCTCTTTTAAAAAGAACCCCCCTCCGCGCTCTTGATACAGAAGGGCTGAGGAACCTTTTTGGGGGGGTCGCTGACCCAGAGAAAAATCCGTCAGGGGCTGAACAAAAGTGAGAAGCAAAACAAAACAAAACAAAAACGAGGTGGCCTCGAACTCAGAAGCAAAGATGCTCCCCGCATTCCCTTCACATACCAGAGCCTGGGGGGCTACTCGATTTTGTGGGCCCCCTAGTTTCTGGGGTGGGGCCAAAATGAGGGGTTCAGTGTGTGGGCGGGGTTGCCGGGAAGCAGGCGTGGGATGTGGGATCTGAGTGGGAGGGAGGGCACAGGAGAGTGTTGGGGGTTGGCAGGTTTGGGAGAGTGGTAGGCTGCAGGAGCGGGCTGGGAGTGCGGAGTCCGGCACTGGGGTCTGGGTGGGAGCGGGGGGGGGGGGGG